TAAAACAATATTAAACCAACACATTACCTATGTCTCAGGGCGACGGGAGCAGTGGCAGTGTCTCTCAGATCAGAGTGGCAGTGTCGTTACGATTTAAAGCTCTGATTGGCACTGCCACTGCTATGGACAGACGTGTTGCTTAACACCAGGCACACGAATTGTTCGTCCCGTCACCTGGTATCACAAAAAAACATGAAGTTGACAAGTCCCATGTGCACGTAAGTTCAACAGTACCATTGCCCTTTACACCCGGACCACGGTCATTTTTATTTATTTATTTCATCATTGCCAACCTGGGCATCAGGTTGTTGGCAAGACGACGCCCTTTTCAATTTGCTATATGTATATCTATTGTAGTTAATTTTTTACATACTAGCTAATTTTCTAAAGTAAACCCTTCACTACCCTTCGTACTTTTTCACTACCCTTCGTACTTTCCCTGAGCCAGTCCATTTTATGCTCACGTTACTGCTAGGTGACAGCAATTGGTATGGTGGTAGTACTACCCTGATCTAACCTTTACACAAGGACCTCAACTGCTACTACAGAATAAAATGTAATAAATGAAAATAACCCTATGTTGTGAAATTCTTGTTTGTAGCGGACTTCTTCCCAGAATGCAGAAAAAGCGATCCTCAAATCAACCAGTGCATCCTGAACGCAGTTGAAGATCTCAGACCTAGACTAATAAACGGAATTCCTGAACTGAACGTGCCTCCTCTAGAACCTTTCACGGTGCCTACGTTGAAGCTTGATCGAACAGCACCTAATTTGAGATTAAAGGCAACTGTTAAGAATATGAAAGCGTATGGCGGAAGCCGTTTTAAGGTGGAAAAATTGAGGTGAGTTTCAGTATTTATTTATTCGGAATACCAACAGATTATAGTTGAAGAAATATGATTTTGGACAGATGAATGTTATCTCTTGGAACGGCTAATCCAGGATTATTAAAAAGGATTATTAGATTACAATACAGTAATAAAACCATTAACACTTAATTTACCGAAAGCGTACATAGATTTAATGATTTTGGTCCATCGTACGAGTCATGGATGCGTTAAATACTTTTTCTGAATTCTAGTTTTGAATCATTTCTTTACTAATCAGGCCGTTTTTTTTAAACCTTTAAACAGTACCGTAAAATACAGACTGCTGTTCTTTTCTTAATATTTTTTTTTATATATAATATATATATCAAGTGACGGGACGAACTAAGTCGTGCTCTTGATGGTAAGCTACACGTCTGTCCATAACAATTGCAGTGTCACTCAGAGCTTTAAATCGCAAAGATCTGAGGGGCACTGCCACTGCGAGATAAATTGACAAGTCCCATGTGCCTGTACCGTATATACATAGATAAATAAACGATATGGGAAACTGGTGTCCAAACTAGGTAAAAATACCTATATTATGTATCACCGGGCCTCCATATACATTCATAAGTTTAGGAAACTGTTGTACTAAATTATCGAGTTTGAGACCAGGTAATCAGTATGGCTGTCAGGTACATTATTATATATAACATAAGTATATTAAATTTCTCACAGATGATAACAACGAAGTTACATGTACAGCAACAACTTTATAGGTTAGGTTCATCAATAGATAGAATCTGCCTTAGGAACGAGCGATAAAGTATATTTAATGTGACGATTTTAAGTGCAATAATGCTTACATATGAAATAAAGATTATTTTGATTTTGATTTAGATGTAGTTTATTCATATTGTAAGAATGAGATGAAAAAAGTAACAACACTTAAAATTTTAAGTAAGTAAAACCGGATCACAGTAATGCTGACATTACTCCTAGGCGGCAGAAATAGGTAAGGTGGCAGCACTACCCTGGACGAACTCTTTCACAAGGAGCTCTACTGCTAAACCCTTAAACAGTACCTTAAAATACCGCCAACTCTTTGTTACTAATTTGACAAAGTTAGCTCCGCGTAAAGATTATGAAGTTAAGAATTAAGTGCCAATACGTAAAGTGTTTATCTAGCTATTTGCACTATACAGATGGCACGTGCGTTACCGAGGCCACTCTCTCTTTTGTCCTAATGTATTCTAAAGATTAAGCGGAATTGGTGCGAATAATATTTCGCCAACTGTATACATAAATGCAATTGAAAATAAATACAATATATAGTAAAGCACAGTTCTTATGTACACGGCAATTAATAATATTCATGTGGATATTTTGATATATTAAAAATAATAAGTTTTTATTAACAGTTGAATTGATATAAAATTTATAATGACATTTTATTAATTATACGTATTGTAAAAAATTAAATAACAATAATAATAAGTATGTATGGAATTTACATTTTATTTATAGAAAGAGTCATTAAATATGAAATGCCGTATGATGCGATCCTAGATTTTCCTTTAACAAATCATTGCATATACAAGCAAATATATAAAGGAATATCTATGTTTTATGGCATATACATTACATATGTATAAAAACTTTTTCATTTTTTTTTATCGCACACACTCAACATTCCCCGCAACAAACCCTGTGTCGCGGGTGTCATGAACACCTACATAGACAACCACAAAATTTGTAGTTATTTAATTACACCCAAACCCACGAGAGAAATAAATGTAGGCCATACAAATATTTCTCCTGGCCCGGGAATCGAACCTGGGACCTCTGCGTGGCAGTCTGGCATGGTAACCGTTCGGCTATGGAGGCAGTATAAAGACTGTAATGTGTGTAACATATTATATTATCAAGAAATTAGTATACTGAAAATGGATTTGAGAGTCTTTATTCAAACATTCAATGCCAGTCAAAATATATATTAATAAGTAAAATAATTTTAATTTTATTTTGTACATTTTAGGAAAATTCACAGTGTAATTTTATTATTGAAATTATACTTACATGATAATTCATATTCACCGCTATTATGGAATTTCCATAATTGTACAAAAAGGCACTGTTCAACAAATAGAAGGACAGATTTATAAAATTACAATTACTTAAAATATAAACAAGCAAAAAAGAGAAAATAAATCAAATAATATAATCCAATTTCCTCAATTACACATTGATAATGAAACTATTTTTGCGGATACAACACCAGACAATATCCAACACCTTAAAATGTTTCAAATTACCAATAAATGTAAATAGATACGAAAAACATTAAAAATTGTATTAACATCATGTAGAGATGGGACGAAAGAGGTTCCTCTCTTACGGAAAACGGTTGTATATTGTTGCCACTTCTGGTTATATACTCGATGCCACTACAGTACGGGCACGCTATGATGGAACTTTTGACAGATTAAATAGTGAAGTCAAATCTCAATTCATTATCGAAAAAATATATTCAAATGTGAGTCGCATCTATAAGTTTTTAGGTTATAACTAATATTGCTTGGGGTAGCTAATTAAAAAGTTGATTAATAAAACGAAAATAAAAATGTTTACTTAATATATATCGTCAATTCGAAACTGCTTTGTTTTGCATTGAGCTTTGACGCGAGTTTGCCGGAGGTAGAAGTTGTGCTGGACAGCGATCCTATAAGTGACGATGGTATTAGATTTCATTTTTTTAAATTTCGAATTTCGAAAAACAAATGCCGAGTTGTGTCGTAAAATTATACGTCCATAAATTGTACTGCACGTCACTATTGACAACTATGTACATCAATTAGCTCCTTCAACGTAGTTACGAATTAATACGAAACTTGATGAGCGGACAAACGTCAAAACGGTCATCATAGCGTGCCGGCACTGATAATGTCTAGACTAACTCCCAACTTTTTACTTTATACTGCTTAAAAAAATCATTGCTTTAGAAAAAAAATCACTAATTAGACTACTTAATTATCTGTGCCTAGATAAAACTATTCGCTATCAGTATATTATTAGAAGTGAAGGGCATAATAAATATGAATATGAAGTCTTAGATACGACTAATAAATGCTACATTACAATGCTTAAATGTCATTACGTATTCCGGTGTTGCAATCGTCTACTTAGTATTATTACGATGTTGTAAGCTTAAGTATCCGAGGGCAAAATTACGGACTTCCTCAATGACAACTGTTCAACTATGCCAAGGATTTAGTGAAAACAAACATTTAATTTGAAAATTTATTTTTTCATCGCGGTGTTTTCAATGTATGACACATAAGCTTCTATTAAACAACGTTACTTTTGGCACAGTACTCTATAGATGAAGCCTATGTTCAACATATTTATGTTAATAAAAAAAAAGATTTAGAATCCCTATACCAAAGTGATAGACTGTGCGCTATCCTGATAACATCTGCCAGGTTGTCACCAAAGCATAGTAATGCACAAAATCTGATAACTTGGACCGGATAACCAGATTTAGGATTTGCTCTTGGATACACTCACAGGACTTGACCGTAACCACGGAAATTAAAAAATGAATGAGCTTATCCACTGATTGATAATCAAGGACTACCCTGTCAATGGTTTCGCATACTTCGTCTTCTCAATCGTTTCCTCACTGCTGAAGATTCACTCCATTTCATCCTGCCAATCATCTGTCTAAGTCCCTTTCCTTCCACCATCATATAATAAATTTTGTAATTCTGCTTGTTTCCAGGGTGCACCTAAACAATAAATATGCGGTCGAGATGAAGCTCTCAATACCGAAATTGGGTATCACAGCGGACTACGACGTCAGGGGATCTCGTGTGCTAACGCTTGACATCAGCGGGAAAGGCAAGCTCAGGAGTAACTTCAGTAAGTATGCAATTTCATGGTTGGCTAAAGAAATCTTTCTTTATAAGTAATGTCGATAAAGTATTTTGACGTTGATAATAGCAACAAGCTGCATAATCGGAGATGTTTCCACAACTATTCACGTTTTTGTAGACCCCAATACCCATTGGGCCAGGGTGGTCGTCAGTGGCGGCGGCGTCGTGGTGAATGTTCACTGAACCCACGGCGCCGACTCAACCGGCGAGAGGGAAACCCGGGGCGGTTTTAGTGGGGTATCCCTCCAGTCTGGAGGGAGAGTCCCCACATAACTCCTGAGTCTCCCTGGGCTCAGGGGTATCCATAAAGATTTCCCCCCCGTCAAAAAAAAAAAAAAAAAAGTGTGGTCGTCTGTGGCCTATATCTTCTTACACGATCATATAGGACAGGATCAATAATAATTACTAATCAAAAAATTACAATGGATTCTGGTTTTATCGTCTTTCATATCATTATTGATACCATCTTCAGATCAGAATCAGAAGAAAGATAAATTTCCCTTTTCTCGAAGCATATTAACTCTATCTTAAAACTCCTCTGTATTTAAGAGACAACACAATCTTCTTAAAATTCTTTTGATATCTAGAGAAGTATTAAGTTATAGAACTGCAACATAAACGTAACTTGTGTAACAAGTTGTGTGTTGTCTTTGTGTAACAAACCATTACTACATTTCTAATAAGCAAAATTTATTGTAAATATATGAGCGTAATCGCGCCAGTTATCCAGGTAGCATAACACTAGCAATCATGCGAATCTGCAATAGTCATGCGTTTGCGCAAAAATTTCACGAAAATTATTGTTTCGGCGAACTTAGGCAAATTTCATTGATCAAAATTTCTTGAAAAGCTGTTCCGCCACTAAACCAGGCTGTAGGATGCATGGTTCTCAAAAAAGAAATGGAGAATTTATCATGTTACCACTGTGCATACGGCTTGACAATACATTTACAGTGCAGTACTAAAGAAGGTTTATTGAAAACTGTTATGGATTTGGCTACTCGAGATACAAAAAAAATACGTAGTTGATCAAGTAGTTTCATTTATTTTTAGTTCTTCAAAATCTCATCTTGCACTTACAGTTTTTTACCATATCGACAACTCACAAAGTGCAGACTAAAAGAAAGTTATCATAAATTAATTAAAAATAATACCTTAAATGGGCGGACATTGGTCCATAACATTTTGATTTTTTCTTGCTCTTAGACCATCCTGTTTATAACAAGGTTCAGCATCTATAAATATGTTCATATGTTCAAAAATAAAAACATTTGCAAATTTGAATTGTGATTTTCAGCTGGAATAGTAGTAGTGGCAAAGGGCATCGGGAAGCCGATCACCAGGGATGGCGTCGAATATCTGCAGGCTGACAGAGTGGTAGTCAAGTTGAAGATAGGACACGGTCAAGTCGCCTTCTCTGAAACCGAAAGGCCGTTAGCTGGTGAGTTTTTGGCATACAAGCCGATGAATCTTCACAATAGTAAATTTAAGTGACGTCCATATTTCACGTAAAACTAGTAAATGATGAGGATCAAACGTTTTCAAGCATAAATGTTACCCACCACTAAGTACTAACAACTGCTGAACGTCGCAAAGATCCGTCGGATGTCGTCGGTTACCAAACGTGGTGAGCAATTTACTGGAGAGACATGATAATAATTATAGTAGTTTAAAAGTTAACCCACCACACTAATAGCTAACGACAAAAATGTTCAATGTTGGAAGAGAAATAAATGAGTAAATATTATTAATGGGGCTTGAACCCACGAAACTAAAACCCACCAAAATCCCTCACTAGATGTCACTAGCGGCGCAGAAAGCCGAAAAATCCAGTACAAAGATCTTTAACAAAAACACAGAATTTCGACAGGTCGGTAACTTGACCCGTAGCTCAGTTGGTAAGAGCAATACTACGGTGCAGTATGGTCGAGGGTTCAAGTCCTATCGGGTCGAAAAAGTTTTTGTATGTGTTCGATCTTTTTATTAATAATCATAATAAAAACTATTGGAGTAATTTCACAAAAAATCTCAATAATGAATATTACTGATTTTTTTGAGATGTGGGGAATTTGTAGATAATAGGGATTTCTTTACTCCAAATTTGGGGAATTTAGAAAATTGGCATGCCTACAACTCCCCACACGCCGGAGCACGGCGTATGCTTGTTTCGATTCGATACAAGTATTTTTACTTACCGAAAGAGTATCGACGGAAGGGATCCGATGCTAAAAGGTCTGGGTATCGAAACAACAGGAACGAGTATCTTGTATAAAATCATTTCTAAGAGCGACCTATGTCCATCAGTGGACCTCTTTTGGCTGAAATGATGATGACGAGAAAATACGGGACTTGGAAGAGAAAAGAGAAGGGGATCATCGCACTATTTACTTTTAAAGGACTTATGCATTAATAAGAACAATACAACAATAATTATGAAATGAGGTTTGATATAATATCATTGTTTGATGTCAGAAGTATAATATATATATCATTATATATATATTATATCATTATTATATAGTATATCATTGTTTGATGTAGTTACGTCTACGTTGTGTTAGCAACTGACAGTTACAAAAGTCGGACGTTGTGAGATCATATTTCTTGCATTATACAATCTTTTTAATTGCATAGGAAGCCAGTTCTCTGTCTTTGATTTGGATTATACTTTGTACATGCAGTCACAGCGTTGTTGGTTACACGTTTCCGGTGTAAGATGATACGTTGTTGTTAGTACCTGTATCGAGTGACTATAAATAATAGTGATATAAAATAGTGACTATAAAATCCTTTTTAACCCCCACGGAAAGAGAGGGGAGTTCTAAGTTTGAAGCCTTCGTTTGTGTATCTGTGTGTCTGTCTTGGACATTGCAGCTCCCAAACGGATGGACAGATCTCAAAGCGAATTTTTTTTATTTGAAGACTAATTTAATCGGGATGGTTCTTAGCTATGTCAAGGCTCTGTCACGCGCTCGAAGTTACGCGATAAGTGCCTGCCGCTGAGTGTATTGCCGACATTGCAAGTGCTCAGACAAGTTTTTAATTTACATTACAATCGTTGTACAAACCCAGCGTTAGGTTCCGACTAAACACGGCGTGCAACGTCATTTTCATATCTCTGAGCTTAGGTTTCTCTTTGTTCGTAGTGGTGCCTGGTTTTATTAGTCAGATTTAGTAGGCTATTATAGCGTAGGTATTTCCGATTTTGCATGAAAGAGATGTATCTGTTTTGTAGTAACTATTAAGTAGTCTGTGACTATGTTTGTAAGAATCCGCGTTATATAATGACTGCAGGATTTATATTGGATTATAAATAAAAAAATGTATTGTAATTATAAAATGTACTGAAAATGCAAAAATGACATGAAAGGAAGAAAAACAATTGTGATTAAACAAAAGAAACAAAAATAAATAAATTGCAAAGGAATAAAGAAGTATTTAACAAAAAAGAAATTGTATGTCGTTGACAATGTTTGATGAACATTTGTTCAGCTGTTTATCATCATCTCTTTTCCCAGTTAGTGTAGGGATGTCAGTCATAAAATGAATGATTATTTTACTTTAACTTGCACGATCGATTCGGAATTGTATACTATGGTAATTTGATATTGTTACAATAAATGGTAACCTTGATTTAATGTGCAACTAGGACGGGCTGTAGTCTACTCAACTCTTCACCTACTTACAGTAAAACTATCGTGTTTGGGCTCATTAAAGGACTATCCATACACATCAGGGCCGTGTCCGGGACGTGGAAGGGCCGTGTTCCGTCAGGGGCTTAAAAAATATCGTTGTGTATATTTTATATGAAGTCGTTTACACACGTCCGTGTCTGGACCGGCGCCGAGACGGGCCCGGAGTTCATTCAAACTAGCGCGGATATGTATATGCGTATGGATAGTCCTTTGATTGGTCTTGACTAGTTGTCTAGCTTACAAAGGTGAGTAGATTACAAATGGCGACTTTACTGACTTGTTGGTTATATTATGGGGGCTATATAATTTAAGTGCTATCTTTTAGAGCCTTTTTATGCCACATTTTCTTAATCTATTATTGTTAAGATGTCTTTATACATTGTTGTGCGTAATTATGATTGTAAGCATAACTTGTTTGAAAAAGTCTATAAGTACATCATCTCGTTTTTTATCGTTAGGATCCTTATACATACAGTGCGCTTCAGTGGCCATAGTAAAACGAAGTTTGAAAAGGTCTATTTAAACTGGTAGTGCAACCCGTCGTGCGGTCTTATGCACCTACTTATTAGTTTTATGAATGTTGGTTATGTCATGGTGTCATGCACTCAAATTAGTATTGGACTGCTCAAGTAGTAGGGGGGCGCAGTATGATTACATTATACAGGAAACGTGGTCTGCTTGTCGGCTGCTTGAAAATCCGGGACACAGTTGCCTCATCTATTCCTCGAAACTTAAAATTTAATATATTATCTTCGGAAATATTTGAAATTATTGAAAATTTGGCTCGGATCAATCATTTGAGTGTGTATTTAAATGAATAGTTTAGTACTACCTTCTAAATATGGTAATTATGTGAGTGTTATTACAGGCAGTTGCAGTAATTGGTAATCGACTCAATAATTCTGAATCTGAAACTTTTTAAACAATGTGAATTATTTTTTATGGGAAATTCCTCAAAACGAGAAAAGAAAAGTCATATACAATCCAAATCCCAGCAACTCTGTACTTCTTCATCTTTTATTTAAGTAACAATTCCATATTTCTTTTATTTAACTGCCTCGGTGGCCGAACGGTTACCACGCCGGACTGCCACGCAGAGGTCCCAGGTTCGATTCCCGGGCCGGGAGAAATATTTGTATGACCTACATTTATTTCTCTCGTGAGTTTGGGTGTAATTTGTGGTTGTGTATGTGTGTGTCCATGGCACCCGCGACACAGGGTTTCCCTAGTGCGGGGCTATGTTGAGTGTGTGCGTTATTATTATTATTATTATTTAAAAGCGGCGTTTTAGTGAGTGTATTACTAGCGCTTTCCGAATAACTTTGTTGTACCTCCTCTCGGGGACCTCCTTGTCCGATCCCACATTTATCTTCACTTTGATTTACTCTATCTAGCTTATCGTCAATCTGTCCATCTATAATGTTTTAATATACTATTTAAATATCGATGTCCTATATAAAGACAGTTTAACAAATATAAGCTCCATTTACAGCGGCGTCAGCAGCAGCATTCTTCAACGCCAGTCCTGGAGTGGTACTGGACATCCTCAACCCTCTCATCGAAGAGACAGGCGCCGCCATCTTGAAGGCCTTCATCAACAAGATCCTTGGCAATGTTCCTCTTAATGAGTTGCTTGTTGATGATGCCCCGGCTTCTTAAAGTGATGGTAAAAGATTGAGAAATGAGAAAAATTGTATGGACGGATGAAGTTCATGGATTAATTGGCAAAAAATATGATTGAGCTCAAGTATAGCTTCAGTGAGTATGACAAAAAGTCGAAACCTTTTGTTCACAGCTAACACTGTGGCATATGATGAGCGTACTCGTGAAAAATATAAATATGTATATAGGATTATTTGTATAATTTTAACAAACTCGCAGGACTGTATTACTAAGATCATAAACAACAACTTTTGTTCCAAAATAAAAATTTTAAGTAGGTCGCTCTAAAGGGTAATAATGCCGTGCAGTAGCAAAAAAAGGACGCGAGAGTCATTCTTAAACAACTTACTACCAAATACAGTTCTAAAAAGTTTCAGGAGTCTATTATGTTTTGTAAAAAGTTGGTTGTCTGTGTGTGTTCTACCGTCTTTATAATGGGGAGTGCTCTGAGGAACTTTTCGAACCGGTGCCACCGTCTCGTTTCTACCATCGCACCTCCCGCCAAAGGGGTAGAGTCCATCCCCACATCTTGGATGTCTGGCATTGTAAGACCACGCGGGCATCTCGTTCGTTCCTGAATCCTGAGGAATGATCTTCCTCCTGAGGTATTTCCTTTGCGCTATGACATGGAGTTCTTCAAAAAGCGTGTTTACAGTGGTCTCAAAAGCTGTCAACGCATAGGCGGCTCATCTGATGTTGCAAAAGTCCATGGTCGACGATGACCACCTTTCATCAAGTGGCTTGTCTGCCCGTTTGCCTCCTTCTTTACAAAAAAAGTCATGCAACAATATTCTTATTCTTAAAAGTCGTTAATTATGATATTAGTGATATAAGTCCTGCGAGATTGTTAGTATATTACAAATAACCTTGTATATGATATTTATGCTTACGTTGTTTGTCATTTTAAGTATAATCGCCAGCTGAAATATGGCTAAATCTTTAGAGCTTTCTGGAGAGTCGTGTAAATGTTATTTTTAACAATAAAATCACACATTTTGGGTTGGATACTTTCGATACTTTTGAAAGCTGTAATTGTAATCGTAAAGTGTCATAATTGAAACCACTAGGAAACAAACAGGCTTTAAAAACAATTTAACAGCATATACCTGTAGGGCTTGTACGACAGGGCGCCACTTGCGCGAGAGCGACGTAAAGCGGGAGATCGCTGTGCGAGAATAGCATTATCTCGTGTTTTATGTCGCTATCACGCAAATCGCGCCCTTTCGTGCCAGCCCTACTGAACGAAATCGAATCTTTGGTGTAATAAGGCCACATCTGCAAATTGACAAGTTTTCAGGAGAGAGGTTTAAAAAGTGTACGAACAAAATAATTCGTAATTTTTATGACTTTCATGTTACAAAACACTTTTTAAATGTGGCCTTATTATCCCAAGGATACGAAACACAGTTGTAACAGAGCACTGCGAAGTAGTAAAGGCAGTTTAACCAGTGACATGAATGAATGAATGAATGTTATAATGCCAGAGGATTTGTTTAATTTTAAATTATGAACTCTCTGTAGCGTAAGGCTTATCTTTCCTGTATATTCAGGATGACTTTTATCAAATAAGCGGTATATGCCAACGGCTCTTTGGTAGATTCGACAGACCTTTATCTATCGAATTTTTAGGTTTGATTATTCGGGCGATTAAATCAAATATTTGTTTTTTCAAACAAACCAACGTTAAATTAAATTAAAAGACAATGTCAAATATGAAGCTTTTTCGCATCAATCGTCTTTTTTTTGTCGAGTATTACTTATTTGACGGTAATTGTTTCAGACGGATGTCGAACGGTGAACCAAAGTAGACCTCCCTTACAGGAGACCCCCTGATCTCATGTAAGGACCTTTAAAGTGCCCAAAACGTTGGTTTGTTTGAAAAAACAAATATACGCGATTTAAGCAGGATTTACATTTGTCTGACGTGTCATGTCGTCACGCGTCAGAACGGTGTCGGTATGATGCATTTAATATGGTTAGATTTAGGTATATTAGTGTGTCGCAATTTGACGTGACGGTTTGTGTTGTGTGTATGAAACCGATACCCTTCTGACGCGTGACAACATGACACAACACGTCAGACAAATGTAAATCCGGCTTCACATTCGAAAAAATAGTTTAGGGCACTTTATATTCTCTTCAGTATATTTCTTACTAATACTTAGTTGCAGCATTATTTCCTTAAGTCCAGAACAAATCTTGGGCTTTACAACTCCATATAAGTAAACAATAGTAATCACTTTACTTTAATTGTTCAGCGATAAGGTTGATATTTGAAGTGATGTTTCAGCTGTTTAAAAACTTTCCTTACAAGTCAAAAGTTTCTAAGCTTGGGTTGTAGAACCATATGCAACTAATCAGATAGATTTAGTTTACTTTAAGACTCGTTACTACTTCATCTCGAATTAAAATTTTTTCCGTACTAATACGGTTCATTTTGCTGGGGTCGAGCGGCAGGACACTGGCCTTATTTCAGAATTAATTTTTTTATAAACGAAAGTAAAGCTATTTGAAAAAAGATATATCGTATAATAAACGTGTTCTATTTAGTTCAATTGATATTAAAAAAAAATCATTGGAATATGTAAAGCACCTTTTGAATACATTCTTGTAAAATTTCGAAGTAACTTTGTGTTTTAGGAAATGAAACTATTTTTCCGGATTTAAATCGCGTATATTTGTTTTTTCAAACAAACTGACGTTTCGGGCCCTTTACAGGTCCCATGGTCACGGTTGACAGTCGGTTTGTTTGAAAAAATAAATATACGCGATTTAAATCCGGAAAAATAGTTTCATTTCCTATGTGTAACAATCGCGAAAACCTAAGAACTCGATATAACTTTGTGTTTTTTTTCTATCATAAAAATTTTTAGATTTCATGTTTTCACATCGTATAGTAAGCAGTCTATATCGTCAATTTTACTATATACTTTTTCCAAAGTAAATGATATAACATTTTCAGTGTTATGCGAAACCAATGCCATTCGAGGTAGTATAGACTCTTATGTGTTCAGGTTGATATTTGAAGTGAAGTTTTGCCGTTTTAACGAGTTCCCTGAAAACTTTATTGCCTCCGAAGCTTGGGGTTTAGAACATACTTACTTAAGTAATCATAAAAAGTAATATGTAATAATTACTTAAGAAATCGATTTTGAAATCGGCTCTTTAATTTCTAATTGTCTTATTGGGCGCCAAAGAAATTATATTTAAGTACCTGCTTTTTACTCGTGGCTTTAAGTATTATTTAAATAAAGTATATTATTTTATTATTTATTCGTTTTCTTTTCTCACCTTTATTATGAATTTTTTTATTTATTTAGTTAATGGCATCATATCCGGTGAAGTAATAATGCATCCCATACGCACATGAACCCTGACAGAACGTTGCTATCCACTAATTAGAAATAGATATCATAAATAACAGGTATCACAATATTACAATCACTCCTTATCAAATCAAAATATTAAGGCAAATATTTCCTTTCAAATCACAGGAAACCGCCGTCATTGCTAGTTCTCAACTTTAATAACAGTTCGGTACTTTAGTTTCTGAGAGTTCTGCCAGTATCACAATGGATGTCGATGAAGAAATACTTATTTTTAATCGACCTCAAAAAAAGAGGATGTTCTCAATTCGAGTTCGATTTCTTTGTGTCTCTCTACTACTATTATCTATTACTCCAGAATTTGTGAACCGATTGTGATGATTCTTTTTTTATTGGACAGAGGGTACCTCAGTATTGGTCGTATTTAAATTTGAAGAAAATATTCCACCTCTAAAGGTGGCAAACACGGGAACGAATCCGGTTCCACGTACTTTCCGGTAACCGATTTCAATAAAACTTGGCAAATAGATGTAATTCTACGAACTTTTCTGGTCCGTGTGTTGATAAGAAAGTTATAATTATGCTTGTTGTGTTAGTTATTAGTCGATACGGACATCGTCGTCAATACTCACAGGCTAATAACACATGTTCATCAACAGTTTCTGATTGTGCACGATCTAATATGCAATAATATACAGTGTTTTTTTTTAATGGTGTGACGGTCTGACCTCCTTACACCGTCATCCCACCTTTTTGTATCGCCTCTCTCCATTCATATCGTATCGTTTTTCTTCTTCTACTCATATTTAAGTTTAAAATTTTTAATTGTTCCATTTTCCTTCGCATTCTGATTTTATTCCTTTCGACGGTCACTCCCTGCTTGACCGCGATAGCGGATACTTCTAAATCAAATTGTCTAATTTTCTTATTCTTTTCAAGTTTAATCATAATACAATCAATGTAAATCATGTATCGACCATAATAAGCGAATAACAGTCTATCTGTAAATCAACATAATACAACCTGATAAGGGGTAAGTGCCTAAATTTAACATCTACCAATTTTAGGTTAAGTTAGGGAGTGTTTTTTATTAATGTACTGTTTTTATACATTTACCTTTTATTTGTTACAGTTTTTTTTTTCTTTACTTTACCTTTACTTCACGTTAAATTAATTTGTGGACCGGAAGTTTCCTGTTTTACTGCAGTGATCCTGATCACGGTTGTTTTGTTATAACCCTTTCAATACAGTATGGAGAAGTCCGAAATCATAGAAGGTAAAAGGAACAGTCTTAGGAACCATTAAGTCTTTTTTTTTTGTGAAAACAATTTTGGTATTGTCCATTTTTTGGTCAAGCGTGAGTTTTTAGCGCTAGTCGATTCAGTTTCATAAAGGGATCATTTCATAGTATGGGACAAAAAAAATCGGAACAGCCGAAGTTGCTCAAATTTCATAAAGTATTTTTCATACAAAATTAATACAATATTTACTAATTTCTTTTTATTATAACAGACTCAGTTTCTTATAAGTGTGATTTTATTGTAAGGGAAGAAAAAAATCGGGACAGCAGATGTTGGTTATATTTAATAAAATGATTTTTCATTCAACATTAATTTGTTTACATTGTTACTAACCCTTATGGACTTAGTCCGAAATAAAGAAATTTATTATTATTATTATTAATAAAATTTTGATCAATCTTATTCATTTTTGTAGACAAATCACGCTTGACCAAAAAACTGACTGTACACAAATTTTATTCACAAAAATTATTTAATGGTTTCTAAGACAGTTTTCTTGTATCTTCTATGGTTTCGGATTTCCCTGTTAACTACATTTTTCAACAAATAAGTATCTTGTATCCTATTGCAATGATTTTGATTTACCCGAAGACTTCTACAAAGTCACAGACCGATTGTGATTACTTTTTTGCAACAGGGTTAAAAATAGATATCAATAAATAACATTCCATTTTACATTTCCTACAAACGCTATGCAAGGCGAGACTTCGATCGTGATATTTCCTCGTTCACTCCTGCTTCCGTCAAGTTCATCTTGATCATGAATTAGGTGTCTTATGTGGAAGTAAATGGTTTCCATGGTTCCAAAGTATCAAACTGCATTATGTTAAATCTAAAATCAGCTTTATTACATAAGAATACATCACTTTATATTATGTGTAGAGATAATGATGTACAGTATGATAAAAATTGTATTACTGTCATAAAAAGTAAGAATTGTTGTTTTTAATGTCCCAATTCCGAGTAATTTGAATAAATCTGAGCATGCAATTTATTGTTATTGCTTATAGACAAGTTAGTAACAGTAGAGCTCCTTGTAAAAGAGTTCTTCCAGCAAAGTATTGCCACCATATCTATTTCTGCACTCAATGTCTGCTCACATTACTGCGATCCGGTTTTGAAGGTTAAGGACCCAGTTTACCACGCCGTCATGTACATTAATGGCGAATCTGAATTCTATTTACTAGGCAACAACATTTAAATTCCTTTGAAGAAAACAACCGGTCGCCGCGTGGACTAAATTTAAGCCAGACTCGCCCGCGTGCCCGGGACGCTCAATTAAATTAAAACGTAAATACTGAATGAACAGAGCGTATTTTGCCATGACAGTTAAATGCACGCGGTCGCTGCGCGGCGGCAACGCGGACTCCGCTTGGCGGCCGCGCGGGGTGAGCATAATGAAATTCAGAAAAAAGAAAGAAAGAAAAATAAATCACGAACAGCCGAGTCGTTTATCATCAGGCGCACGACTTGTTCGTCCCGTCACTTGATATCATAGTAAAAAACCGACCTCAAAGTTTGCTTATCAGTTTTTTTAATGGAATTACATCTGTTTGTCAAGTTTTATTGCCATCGGTAAACGGAAAGTGCGCGACATCAGATTCATCGGCTAGTTTGTCACAGTGGAATATTTTCTTCGAATTTAAATGGGACCAATACTGAGGTACCCTCTTTCCAACAAAAAAGAATCATCAAAATGGATTCAAAGTAATCGCGTTACACACAAAAAAATGCGGTTGAATTGAGAACCTCCTCCTTTTTGAAGTCTGTTAAAAAGGACTTTGGCCACCTCATCAGACGTAAGTGATGATGTGGCCAGATGAGTGCTTATTCATTCTATTAACACACATAAATGCTTTTCAATAATAGTGGCCTAAACCAAAATACTTAATTTTTGTCTTATTATACAGCTACACTCAGAATGAGCTAAATTTTATTGTCAATAAGACCTTTTTATTGCTTAACCTGTCACGCGTTCTAACGATTTTGGTAAAACCTTTTTTAATTATTTTTTATATGGTCGATCAACATTGCGTTAGGGACACCGTGTGGCGCTAGGACGCCACAGCACCATATTCATTAGGGACACCGTGCGTCTCTCGCGTGACGTGTTAACGATGATGATCATGAATACTAAAAACCGTATTTGAAATAATATGTTCCATCATTTAAAACGCTAGAATCTTTTAACAACATCACATAAATGTATTAAATACGAACGCATATTTATTGAAACAAGAAAACAGTCTGCACCATGTAAGCCGTCGTAAGGACCTCAAGTCCTCGACATTGCTCCTTATACAGAAATAAAACATACGAGTGGCCAGTTCAAACCTTTTAAATACCCCGTGTTGGTGATGTTTGATCTTATACTACATGTGATTATTCTAAGATAAGTGACAATTATGGCAAAATTTATATATTTATTGATTTTTGGATTTGTCGGGTGTGTTTTTGCAAGGCAAGTGAATCATGTGAGAAATAACACTTATCACGGCAATAGAGACGACAATATTAGTAAGTATTCGTTTTTGAAATGTTACAAACTGGCCATGGCCAAAAATGCAGGCAGGAAGCTTGGCATCTTTTACAAGGTGAAGCGTTACTTCACACCGGGACAGTTGTTTCAGCTGTACCAAGCACAAGTCCGGTCGTGTATGGAGTACTGCTGCCACAAATACCAACTGGCCACCTTGGTTTTAATCGGCAAGCGTGCCAAGAGGCTTATAGGTGACTCGAAATTAGTAGAGGCAAAGCTGCAGAGCCTTGAACACTGCCGTAAAGTTGCCTGCTCATCAGCATTCTTCGGGATATATCATGGAGAGTGTGCGATGGAATTGCATAATTTGATTCAGCCTTCCCCTTTCCATCATCGGGGGACTAAACGTGGGCGGGGATTCCACCACTATGTTGTGGATATTACCAGGATTCGCACGTAGCGTTTCGCTTCCACATTTATACGGCGAGCGACTAGAGAGTGGAATTCCCTACCTGCGGACTTCTTCCACGAACGCTATAACTTGGACCTTTTCAAGGCGAGAGTGAATAGGTGTTATTTAGGTGTGCATGCTACATCGTCGACCTCATCATCATTTTCCATCAGATGAGATGGAGGTCAAATGCGCACTTATATTTTATAAAAAAACTTTTAGTAGAAACCCATTTAGAAACGTTAATAACTTCCACAGGCTATACATCAGTATGTCACTACAGCGATCCCAATGTGGAAGAGTGTATCGCACGCGTAACAGAAAAAGCACGACAAATCCTCGCTGCCGGAGCACCCAATCTTGGCATCCAGCCTTTGGAACCTTTGAAAGTTCCCAGCATAAGGCTGAGACAGCATAACGTACCGAAGAATGGGTTCAAATATGACGCTTGGCTTTCGGATATTATGGTGAAAGGATTGGGGAATTTTACTATTAATAAGTTGGAGTAAGTCACCGACCATGTCTATTTAATGTATATTTTGTAGAATCTTAGGTTAGCCAATCGGACTTCAAGAATATCGTTATGTTTATGAATATATAACATTAATAGAAGAAAAACCTGGGGCAAGAAGTTGCCCTAGATAAACGCAGATTTGACTCCTGTCATGTCTAAGGAATTTTTCTTGTGTTCGATATTTGTATTAATAATTATGACAAACTAGTGAAGTAATTTCACAAAAAAAATATGAATATCATGTTAGTAAAACATCATAATAACTTTATTGAACATAAACTAACATAATCAATGTTAACTTTTAGTTTAACTAAATACGATAAACTCAACTCGCAGGTTATTTACTTATTAGGAAGGTACTATTTAACAGATTGTAGCTAGACCGCGTCAATTGTTGCATTGATTACATTACAAATCATAAAGCGACATCTCTTGTCAAGATATAGTAGCTGTAAAGGTTGAGTGATGAAAAACTTTCATAGATTTCTCACAGGTGGCGTTACGGTCTAAAACGCTGTTAAAACAAAAAACAAAAATCTATAAAAAACGCGTAGAGAAATTCGTAAGATCTGAGCCGAGGTTTGCACACAGACGCTGGTTAGAGTCCTGACAGACTTTTTCTGTGTGTTAATTATAATAGAATATTCTCAAATCACACATTTAAAAAAGATTGGAATCATTAATTAGAAATTGCGTTTAAGTTTATTCTTTTATTATAGCGTGTACCCAGAGGAACTGAAAGTAACAGCGAACGTAAGTCTACCGCATTTGGTCCTGACCGGTGACTACGTCATACTTGGAGGGTTCCAGATGCTACCAGTCGAGTCTACCGGCAAGATTAATGCTAACTTTAGTAAGTAAAACCATAAGGATAGGGTGAAAATATAATGTTTCCAATTAAAAACAAAAAATCGTCGGTTAACTTATATTCTATTGACAAATTTTGCCCGAATTTAAGTCATTATGTAAGTACGGGTACGGGTACATACGGGTAGAAAAGAGTAGCTGTGCCCCTGATACTTTAGTTTATGGCTGTCACAGTGATATTTATATGGCTGCATAGTGGTATTTACGTAATCAAGGGTAAGGGTGCTGGTGAAAGGTGAAGGGTGCCTGTAATTACAGGCACATGGGACTTGTAGGTTCTTTGTCAATAATTTGTAGAACTTTGGTTGAAATATACCATTGATTTGAAACACAGTGCTCCCTTTTTGGATTTAAACAAAGAGAAAATGTCTACATATTTTCAAATTTTTCGTAGTCCTGAACACAAAAGCAAAGATTTTGCAGGCAATCATAGCTTTTTCATATTTTTTTCTTAGAACCAATTACAAAAGTCGAATTTAATTATAATTAATACTAAAAGTATGCATAGAATTCATTGACTTACAAAGAAATGGACGACGGCTCTAATACAAAAACCACGAAAAAAATGTCCCAAGTCAACCTATTTAAACGTAGTGACATGTAAAGGAATATGAAAAAGCTAAAACGTTGAATTTAAATTGTAATGTCATCGCAGTACTGTCTAATTTTGCTTGCTTCGCTGTCAGTCGAACAAACGAAGACTAAAGCGTGAATTACGCTCTGTATACGATTTTAACGCCCTGTAAGTTCGGACACTTTTTAGCGCGGACCAGACGTCCATATATCATCGTCCGTAAGTCAATGATAGAATTATTAAGTTTACAGAGAAAAAATAAATTTAACAGGAATCCGATTGTAGACAAAACAATGAACCTATCTTAAATTTAAAGACAAAATTAACATCACTTGAAAAAATATCATATCTTATTTATTTCTGAAGTAACTTAAATAAATTTGTCATAAACGTTTTCTGTTCATCTTAACAGCACAGTGTACAGCGTCCTTAGAAGCGATAGGTGCTAGAGTGCACAAGAGGATGGTAGTGCGAGACGCGATTGTGCGCTTGCACTGCTCGGGGCCCTTGCGAACTGATTTAAACGAAGCGCATTCCACTACCGGAGAAATGGGTAAGCAGTCCAATATCTATTAGTTCCATTACATTACTGGATAAAGATCTATAAAATTTAAAAAATTATTAAAATTACTTAAAAAAATACGACTTCATAATGATACGAAATACCTTTTTTTTGTTCCTATGGGAAAATGTTTTATGCATACCCTCGAGCCTGGTGAAGCTCAAGGTTTATGTAGGAATGGATAAAATTACTAAGAGTGACTGTCATTTTTGCAATTCGAAGTAGTAAAATAAGGTATTCTTCTACGTTTTTCGAGGTTTTACGCGAGATAGCATAAGACACTTCTACGAATGTGGTTCTCCCGTGTCTAGTCCTAGGCGCATATAGGACCGGTTCGCATGTTCTGTCGATTCTTTTTCTAGTTTGTTTCTAGCACTAAAGTCTTACAACTAAAGTTGTTTTTCATATTTTTGAAATCACTTTACCACCTTACAGAGATGATCACCGATCACATCGCGGGCATGCATTCGGCTGAAATCACCCGCGAAGTCCAGCCGGCGGTGGAGACCGCCCTAGCCATGGTCCTCGAAGACGTCGCCAATAAGTTCCTTAAACACGTCCCGTACGACATGGTTTTCCCTAATTAGTCATTTGCATTAAGAATACTGTAGAACGTCTTTTTAAATGATGATGTAATAAATATTTCGTATAGTGTTTATGTCATCGAGTATATAACCAGAAATAGAGACAAAATAAGGGCCATATATTCCTGGTAACACATTAGCGATACTGCTCTTATAAATATCAACTCTCGTTTGCACTGAAATATAGACATATCCGACATATCTTTCTAATTTGTGATATAGACAGGCCAACTACTGACCTGTGTGTACGTCTCCGTACATTCCAAAAAATATTCTGTATTTATTGTAGTAAAGATAATATCTCTAACAATGCCGTGCTGTTCTATTCGGTGGTGTGGGAAAAACAGCAAAACATCTAATTACAAAACAAACGGAATCACATTTCATCGGTAATTAAATATTAAATATGTATTTTTGCAATTTTCTAAAGCTCTAGTTAACTGGTCGATTTGAAGTGAAACAGTTGACGACACCCGTCAATTGTTTCGAACTCGGGCTAGCCAATCGGAGCGCAGTTGTCACAGTAATGATATGGCAGAATAGTTTACAAACAAATTAAATGACATTTCGTCTCTATTTCTGGTTATATACTCGATGGTCTATGAACACAAAGATGATGCATAAAATTGATTCGCTCTGGACCTTTTGGAGGGAAAAGTGTCGTTTTTATTTTGACTTTCAATTATTTTGTGAAATCTAGTTTAAAGTGGAATAGGATAGTGCTATTGTGCCTTAATCGAAGATTAAAACGCGAAATTATACGAATCTCGAACTAAAATACCCGTATCGGCCCGTTTTAAGGAATCCCGAGTCAATCCAAACACGCCGCCTCAAATTGCCTATCCTCTTTGTGGCGGCCATATTTACAGAAACATAATTAAACTTCATGTTTAGGCTGATGGCTTTGCCAAAGCCTTAATAAATAAAAAAAAAAGATGCATAAAAATAAATAAATAAATAAGTTTCTAGGTTAAATGCCACTTCTGCTTAGATTTATTCAGTAATGTAGTTCTTTTGCTCAAGAACTTTACTTCTGTACATTGAGCATTACTTATCGTTGTTACTTGAATTTGCAATATTGACATTTGTAAAAGTTACAACACATTTCTAAGTCACACTATAAATTGCGAAGTCTGTTTAAGGACTTCATTTCGTTAGATTACTAAAACAATATTAACAGAAAGTCGTGAATGTTGCAGCGAACTTTGTTTATTTAATAAGTTACTTGAAATGTTTACGTTATATCGAATTGATAGGTTTTCGCGTTTGGAACTGAAGCTATTGTTTCGGGTCTACTGAACCGTGACCATGGAACCTGTAAAGGACCCTTATTGGCTGAGTGCTGGACCCTGATTCAGAACTCTTCGATATTTTAACCGAATTGTTTAGTAGATTTAGAGCTTTCGAGTTAAACGTTCAACTCTGATTCGGATTAGATATCGTTATCCAGCAGTGTTTACAAAGTTAGTTGGTGAAATAGATTATAAGAAAAATGAAAATCCTATCATTTTTAAGACTTTGATAGCCTAAAATACAGGATTGTATTAGTCTTGCATTAAATGTCTTGTATAAAATTGAACAAAATCCAGACTTCATTTAAAATACTAAGAGATTTCCATATTACATTCTTGCTTTGTAAACAATACGTTCGGTAACTTTCATTCGGTAACTGTGTTCTGAATAACGTTTGTAGCCGATCAAGAAGTTCGAGTAATCGTACGGGTGTGACGTCATTTCGGTTCGGTTTCGACTACGACAGTTTGATGTCCGATTTGGGTGTTGTGAATAAAAATTAAAAGAACACAGCCGGATCGAATTAGTTTTTCTTGGTGTTTCGATCATCGTTATAATAATTATAAAAAGTAGTGGAGTAATTTTATAAAAAAATATTGAATGTTATGATAGTAAAACATTATGACATTGAATAATCTAAAAAAATACAATATGATTATTTCCAATGTGTACATCGTGTTATGTAATTTATTATTATTTATTAATGTTATATTTTTTTAAGTTAATTAACTAATAGTTACATAGTTAATTAAAGATATTTTTTCTACAATAAAAATGTGTTTCATTACAAATACCATATAGATACATATTTAAGGAGATTCTGCTTTATAATTGTTTAGAACACACAAAAAATTATCATTTTAATTAATTATCACTCTTTCATTTTATCACACTTTTATTACTCATTTCAAAATATGTTTTTATTGTTATGCACAATAAAAATTATCATTTCTAATCGTTACAAACACACTAAAAATTATCACTTCTTAGACAAACAAATACCTTGCGTCTATTATTCATTAACAAACACAAGCTTTCGCTTGCAGTTAGCTTTAAACAAGCCAATGCGATGACGTGACAGTAATGTGTAATAAGATGACGTAAGTACCATACAAGACAATGTAATTGTAAAGTCAATACGAGCACTCTTATTTCACCCGTATTGCACTCTATGCAGTCATTTTTGTGCAGCAGGTCATCAACTTGCCATGGTCCAAAGATTAAGGTCACAGAACCGACGCGCGGGTGCTGACTTAGTGCCACCGACATGCAATCTGGGTCACTGTGTCGGTGACCGAAAGAATAAGCCAGTGTACAAAGAACTCTGACATTTTCAATACAACTATATCTATCTGTTGAGAGTTTATTTATTTATTATATGGACAATAAAACAGATGACAATCAAATTACATTGATAGAAGTTATATTTCGTACTACAAAGTTTCGTACCAGATTGTAACCCTAATTATGTTGAAACATCATTGTAACGTAACAAGAACGATCGACTGTTCATAATTTGCTAATTATTTATTTATTCAATATACTTATTTACTTATTACTTTATACTAAAGCGACATGGGAATGGGTGATAATACCCACATAAATGCTAAGTGAGTTAGTACTCCTTCAAATTTGGATCAAAATTATCAAAACCAAAGTTTTTCTTATATCTCGTTATAAAGTCGACACATTTTTATCAGAGAGTTATAAAAAGAAGTTATATATTATACAACAAATTAGGATTGAGTTAACGTGAACACGTCAAGATTTTAAATTAAATCGCAGTAAGAGCCTTTTTTAACCGACTTCAAAAAAGGAGGAGATTCTGAATTCGACTGTATTTTTTTTGGATGTATGTTACGCGATAACTCACTTGTGAACCGATTTTGATGATTCTCTTTTTTGTTGGAAAGAGGATACCTCAATAATAACCCTTAGTATTTCACTATTTAAATTTGAAGAAAATATTCCACCTCTAAGGGTAGCAAACTAGGGGATGAATCCGGTTTCGTGCTCTTTCCGGTAACCGATTTTAATGACACTTTGCAAATAAACAAACTTTTGAGGTTCGTTTTTTTTTAATAAAAAGTTATACTTATTTAAATTTTCAACTGCTGTATATTATAATTATAAACGACTTCGATGCCCCAACAATTTGCACTGTAGGCGCTAGATGCGGAGGTCCCGAGTTTGATTCGCTGTAAGACCAAATTGGAAAATGAACTTTTCTAAATTGGTTCTGGTCAGAGGGTTCCGGGTTGTGTCCCGGAGGGGATTCCGTTGCTCTGGTACTCATAGTATAAGGAGTTCTCTAGTTTGTGACCAGTTAATCGGTGTGTTTTTCTGGCACATTATTAGTGGCTCATTACATTAGTTACCAAGAGCGAAGCCTTAATCAATCGTTACAGAAAGCAAAGGTAAGATAATTCATATTTAAAGGTGCAAAATTCAAAATCTTTTGGCTTTACTTAAAATGAAACAGCTCTTTCTAACATAGACGCCATTATACCATAAAATCAATCATATTGAGTTTCAATTCCAATGTTTATTATACATTACATGTTTAGTATGCAAATTTAGAATGATGGAGTCTCACAAATGAGCAATGTAAGTCGTATTACGTACACTCACGTTTTTGTAAATAAAACGTCTACAGGCCTACAAATTGACTGTGATGTAATACGTTGCAAGTCGGTTACGTAGCAGAATGCTCGAGTGAGTACTGTTCTTTAGAAAAACAAATGTTAATTATTGAGTTCTCAGGTTTTCGCGATTGCCACATATTGGCAATGAAACTATTTTTTCGGATCTAAATTACGTATATTTGTTTTTTCAAACAAACCAACGCTTAGAGCTCTTTAGAAGTCCCATGGCTGACTGGGATCGTAAAGTCATAAACCTGGGGCCCAACTCTACTAATTTTAAACCATCTCAGCTGTGTGTCGATAGTATGTTAATGACAGTATTTTGAACCGCTAAAAGTTAAGAGTATTGTTGAGGCTTATCAGTGGCTACCCATCGCGCTGCTATTCAACTGCCATTGCAATTTTTGGTATTCTGCTCTTCAATTGCGAGTCGATGGCACGGCAATCATATAGTCTACTAATATTATATATATTTATCCAAATTACTCTACATATGATTTGCAAAATTTTTATTGTTATCCGACCTGAAAAAAAGGAGTAGGTTATACGTACTATATGTATGTTTTGTTTATACGTACTATATGTATATGTTTGGCTGTATGTATGTTTTATGTACATTTTCCGAATTCTCTGTCAATTGTGGACCGATTTTGAAAATTCTTTTTTGTTTGAAAGGGTATACTTTCGTGATGGTCCTATTGTCACCAAGTTAGAATCTGATGACGAAATCCATGGAAATTGAGGAAAATCCTCAAATTTTATAAGCATGTGAGTGTACTTACCGATTTCTCCGTCAATTATGAACGGATTTTGAAAATTATTTTTTTGTTTAAAAGGATACACTCTCGAGGTGATGCCGACGATGCTGTGCTGTTCGTTTCGGCTATTACAAACTAAAAAAATGTTTTCGCCAAATAAAAGTCGACTTTTTGCTTGACACAATTAAATACGTGTAATAAACAAATCATCGTCACCATGACAACCAGAAAAATGTATAAAATATACAAAGGAGAGCGTAACAGTCCCATTCTCACCAAGAAGTCAGAATCTGATGAGGGGATCCTGTGGAAATCGTAAAAGCCTATAAGCAATGGAATGCTCTACCGGCATCTGTATTTCCCGAAAAGTACAATTTGGGGCAATTCAAGGCTAGAGTGAATAGGCATTTTTTAGGCAAACGCGTCCCATCGTCGGTCACATCGTCGCTTAACATCAGGTGAGATTGTGGCCAAGCGTGTGTCTATTATATATTAAAAAAAAAAACAAACTTTTCAGTTTTCAAACAAACAGTTTGGTTTTTTTAAATTGAAATAGTTAAAATTATAACAATATGAGGAAAAGGAAATTAGAAATAAAAAAATATTAATGAGCTACACTGCAGTCTAAAGACGGGGGGTCTTTAAAAAGAATATACGATTTCTCATTTCGATCGATCGTCACGATAATCGCATCGAATCATCGTTTCGATTAGTTTCAAATGAAGAATATACAAGGCATATCGTACCGTGTATACGGGGGCCTGTACATGTACATCGAGTTTCTTTCGACTTTGTTTTGTTTACACGACTGTTGTAGCTGGTATGCCATGAAATACTTGTATACAAAATGTTTATTCTCCTTGTGACCGCTAGGGGCGCTATACATATCAAAATGTGACGTATTTTTTTCACTGTCGCCAGTTGTCGCTGACACAGCATCTCTATAGCTGTCTCTATAAGGTCGAGGTAGAGACGTTAATGAGATATTTATGATTGCAAAATGATTTTCTTTATAATATGTAAATACGATTCAAGTATGTTATTTAGTTGCCTTTTTTATATTTGATATCGATTTTATTCTATTATGTCCATAAATGATCAATAATATTAAATACGCAGATGATATGGTGCTGCTGGCCCCTTCGGTGGCGTGGTGCGAAGGTTGCTGTGCGCCTGTGAGTCCTATGCTGTGTCACATAGGTTAAAATATAACACTAAGAAAAAGAGTACATGGTATTCGCGTTGCGTGAGAAATCTCCCAAACATATACCATCCATTAAACTGTAAAGTTGTACAGTAGTGAGTTGACTAAAGTGACACAGTTTAGGTACCTGGGTCACATAGTAAATACTGACCTTTGGGATGATTGTGACATGCAAACGGAGCGTAGGGTGTTGGTTGTCCGAGGGAACATGCTAGCTTGCAGGTTTGCAAGGTTTGCACAGGTGATAAGTGTCTTTATTTACTACATACTGTCAATCAAAACGATCGACAGTATGATTTAAATAACTGACTGTAGCAGCCTGTGGGTTATGTATAACCAGAAGACTTTCAACGAGCTGTGCGTCCTATATAATGAGATGGTTAGAGTGCTCTTGGGGCTGCCCAGATACTGCAGTGCGTCTGGTATGTTTGCACATACTGACTGTTTTTTATGCACTAATGCGTAAAATCTTGTGTCAGTAAGACGCAAAATGGAGCCCTACAAAGACATTGGGTATCGGTTGTGATAAATCCTCACGCTGAACGTGTTTATTTTATCAATTAAATTTTGTGTATCTGTCATTCTTACTGTCTTATATAATATGTATGATTTATATCATTACTAACCATTGACTTACAAATAAATGGACGACGGGTCTAATACAAAAACCACGAAAAAAATGTCCCAAGTCAACCTATTCGAAATTTAAATTGTTATGTCATCGCAGTATCGCGCTGTCCGTAGAACAAATGAAGACTAAAGCGGAGTGTCGCGCTCTGTATACGATTTTAGCGCCTTACAAGTGCGGACACTTTTTAGCGCGGACCCGACGTCCATATAATTGTAAGTCAATGTTACTAACATACAGTTGTTTATTTGAAGCACCTACTATATGGACTCTTTATGGTATGAATAAATAAGTTTTGAATTTGAATGTAAAATTCTAAAATTACATTATAACATTTTTTATGGATTAAAAGTTACATGTACACTGTTGAATGTGTTAGTTACTTCATAAACATCAAATTACGAAACACTTATCACCTTAACACACCACAGGCAATATTAACATCTAACAACTAAACTACGTGATATATGGAAGGAGGCAGATTTCATATTTCAACATTTAAGCAATCATTAACAAATACATTTTTTTTAAGATTACGGTGGAATTGAGATGAAAATTATCAGATCTCATTCTTTTATTGTCACGTACGTTAATTTATTTAAATCTGATGCTCAATAGTTTTATTTCATTTCAATTTTATCAATTGCATAGTGTTCTTTTAAGATGTGGAGGTTAATATTATTGTGCGGTTTGATAAGCTCTGTGTGTGGTGGTTTAGAAAAAGGTTTTATAAAATGTGAGTATATTTTTTTTTATTTTATTTATTCATTTATTTCAGGTAACTAAGGCCCATATAACAAATACCTTACAGACTAACATACATATTATTATTATTGATACATACCTTACAAACTAACATACATATAAAATAATATAAACTTATTAACTATTTACACGAATTACTATTCGGCGACGTGCGACGCAAACAAGTGTCATGTATCGTTCCTCTGAACATGATATCCTTCGGCCAAAACTCTACCTGCATGAAGGTCGACAGATGGACCGTTGGGACCCTCACCACAAACGAATTAAAGTTAACGTTGTGGCGAGACTCCAAACGTTCGACCCTCAGGGTGAATTGGGCTTTCAACCGGATATACTCCACTATATCCTCAGACTTCGTGGAGTAATGCAGTCGAGACAGGTACAACTGCGTCGTCGGTATGGCCGCACGAAGCAAGAAGTTCTGTCCCGTTGGAGCTGTGCCACATAGATTTCGGCTGGTGGGTTTCTTTCTTCTCTTCTCCACCTTTGTGAAGCCGTCCTCGTCGCACCTGTCGGTCTGCCTCTGAGATTTGGCACCTGCGATTCCAGAAACAGGCATTCGGGGTTTACTACCGCCCTTTGCAGTTTTCCGCAACTCGGGTTTTGAAGTCGCGGTTCCGCTGCTAATAGTCGCGGCAACAGCGGCGTATGCACGCCCGGGCGATGACGTGCATATGATACGTGCTACACATAAAATGCTGAGTGTGTAATTTTAAGGCCCGGCGTCCACTGATAGAACGGCACGGCAGGGGATTGTTTAACTGGCTTCAAAAAAGGAGGAGGTTCTCGTTATCGACTGTATCTTTTTTGTGTATGTATCGCGATTACTCCGATATATGTAGACAGAAAGGCAATAGTCCCATTTGAAGAAAATATTCCACCTCTAACTGTGGCAAATGTGGGAATCAAACCGGTGTATTAGATTTCAGTTAACCAATTTCAATAAAACTTGGCAAATAAATCTCATTCCACAAACTTTGAAGTTGGATTTTTTAAAGTTATCACTATTCGATGACGAATAGTAATGTACCTAAAGTTATGTCATTATAGCGACTCATCCAGTAGAACAAAGATCTATGTGCAAGACTACTTGTTCTCAGGATATAGTACATTTCGTTCGTTCTTCTTCGCTGTGGATGTCAAATCGACCGTTGTTCGATTTTATATTTCCGAAACGAAATAAGGTATATAAATTGTCAAAACACCTTTACATAGGCCTTGGTTTGAATAACAAAATTATTCTCATCGGACTTTGTTCTTCGGATGAGTCGATAGTTGACAATAACAGAGGTCGTAGGCCTCAGAAATGCCTCGGCAGTTTTCGGGATGCTTCGTCAAACGTAAAACGTTTAACATTACGACTTATCTTTTTTATTAATAACACCCTGTGTCGCGGGTGCCATGGACACACACATGGACAACCATAAATTACACCCAAACTCACGAGAGAAATAAATGTGGGCCATACAAATATTTCACCCGGCTCGGGAATCGAACCTGGGACCTATGCGCGGCAGTCCCACTTGGTAACCGTTCGGCCACGGAGGCAGACCAGGGTGCTACTCTCGATCTCCGTCCGACATCCGTCCGAAACAATTACTGTCAAATAAGTAATATTCGACAAAATTAAAAGACAAGTGTCCAGTATGAAGCTTCATTCGCATCACGCGTTCTTTCATTTGGTCAAGTATTGCTTATTTGGCAGTAATTGTTTCGGACGTAAATCGAGAGTAGACCCCCAGGTGCGAGTTAGACGTCGCGACGGTATGCTTCGACAACGGGCATGCCTAAGAATACCGCTATATTTTTGCCGTCATTGTGTGCTTGCATTCAGAGACGCCGAAGTATCCCTTGCTATACCGTCCCACCAATGGGCGCCTGGCCTAAGTGTGTTCTTGAACATTACGCTAAGGCAGGACATCAACCACGGCTGTTATCTCATAGTCCTCTGTAGGACGAACGAGTACAGATAACGGAAATCGTCTTGTCTAAATGGACATATCGGAATAAGTAAAAAAAAAACTACCCAGAAACGTCCTCAACCCGCATTAACTTAAAAGAAACCGACGCTCAGCATGTGATGTGTTCTTACAGTGGGTGGTTTCGTATGTCCAAGAGAAGAAAAGGCACTGGGTCGCTGTCTACGAGATGTTCTGAATAATTACATCCCACACATTGCAACAGGTGAGAAGGTTTTATAATACTAAAAAAATAAGGTATACGTTATGTCCTTTTCCTTAACTCGAAAAGGTCAACAGTAAAAAGGAATTTAGTAGCGGTAGAACTCCTTGTGAAAAAGTTCGTCCAGGGAAGCACTGCTACCTTACCTATTTCTGCCGCCAAACAGTAATGTGAGAAAGAGTTGAAATTACAGGCACATGGGACTTGTTAACTTATGTCTCAAGATGACGGGCACAGTGGCAGATAGACAGTGGCTAAGATCTTTACGATTAAAAGCTCTAAGTGCCACTGCAACTGTTATGGATAGGCGTGATGCACGACTTGTTCGTTGACATAATAATAAAAACAAATTGTTGAAATATCGAAAACGAATATCTATTTGGCATCCAGGAAGTAATGTAAGCATGGCTGCCTTCCGGTTTTGGAGGGTAAGGGTGCTGGTGAAAGTACAAACACATGGGACTTGTCAACTTAATGTCTCATTGTAACGGGCGCAGTGACTGTCCCTCAGGCTGTTGCTATCTTAAAGATCTGAGTGGCACTGTAACAGTCATGGGTAGGCACGTCACTTACAACTAGGAGCTCGACTTTTTCGTCTCACTTGATATCATAAAAAAAACTTAAAGAAGCAGCATATTTAGTTTTGTAAATTGTTTCTTGTTATGCTTAATTTAAAATTACGACCATTCAATTTTTCGCAATGTTCTCCACAGGTTTACCCGAATACGGCATACCACCTTGTGAGCCGCTGCTAATACCTTCTCTGACAGTGAAGCAGTCTGCAGGTCCCATACACGTCACCTCATCCTATCATGACGTCGTCGTTAAGGGACCTGCTAGTATGAGAGTTAAAGACGTCAGGTACGTTATAAACACTAGCAATAAATAAGGTATACATACATCGAACGGTCCTATTTTTTTGCTTTGGGAATGTTACGTTGTCAATAGCAGATAACCGATCAGCGATTAATTGAGAGAACGCCGTCATCCAATTTAGAAGGTTTTAGATTCGATGTGATGAAGTCTACATATCAGAGAAGGTTCAAGAATTTCTTTAATAAAGTGTAAAGTTTACAATCCACATTGAGCTACCGTGGTAGATAGACTACGGACAACTCATTCTTCTCTGAAAAGATCATACCCAGCAGTGTGGCGTACATGTGTCGGTGATCAAGAAGAACTGAAATAAGGAACTCTATTGATATCATTCTCCAATACCTCAGTCTATTATAATCCGCTAAAGGTCTCTCTTTAGGTCTTTCGGGTATCTCCAAAAAAAAAAAAAGATTTTTCATGATCTCCACGATTGAGAGATGGATTAATGATTGCCGTAAAGCAAATGTTGTATTTATGGAGATTTATTAAATGCCACTTGTTTCAACTTTCACGGGAAGATATGGAACACGGCAATTATAGTCCAAAAACACATTTTACAGAGTAAACGCCAAGAAACACCAGGTGGTAGCAAAGCTTTACATCCCTGAGCTTCGAATGAAGGGCAACTATAAGGTCACAGGGCAGCTGCTGATGCTGCCCATTGAAGGTGACGGAAAGTTTTCCGCCAAGTACAGTAAGTTTTATCATTTAAACTCAATTTGTGTAGCACTATAAGGTTTTCTGAGACTGTCTATTATTTATCGACTTCTTAGGTTTTCGCGATTGTTACACATAGGAAATTAAACTATTTTTCCAGATTTAAATCGCGTATATTTGTTTTTTCAAATAACCCGACGTTTCGGGCCCTTTACAGGTCCGATGGTCTTATTTTTAATTTTACAAAGAAAACATTCCAATTTATGCTACATTATTTTATTAATTGGAACGTTTTGTTTGTAAAATTAAAAATAAGGTATTTAATTAATAACTATTCTAACGATAGTGAAAAAATAGGGTGGTTTATTGGTAATAGTTTCATTTCCTATATCTATTATTTGTTATGTGTTCCTGTATTAGGATCTTTTTGAAACCTTTTTTTCTGAAGTGGGTATGTTAATCTTTGAAATGTATTTAAATTCCTGGCACAGAAATCTTTTGCAGAAAGGGCAATTCTTTACTACCTACATGGAACAACGATATTTCTGTAGTAATCACTTTACATTTGACACCCGTGTGTTGTATTTTGCTGTTGATGCTGTGATAGCTGAATACCAGTACTTGCTTTTGAACAGAACCTTCACTGAACTAGGACTTGTTGGCTTGTTACAGCACACACTAGTTATTGCTTTAGCATTGGTTTGGTATAAGCTGTTTGTTACATGTATTAATTTGATTTACTTGTGTGTTTTCACTGACACTTTTAGTTTTTTCTTCTTTTTATTTCATAGGTACGCTTGTGAGAAAACATTAGATGCCTTAATTATATTTTATCTGGGTATCTTTCTATATGACCTTGTGAAGAATACCCATCATTTTCCTTCATGAGATCCCAAATAATTTCGGAGTAATTTCAGGTGACATCAACGCCATAGTGACAATCGTCCTAGGCAGACTACATCGTGAACTGGCTCCGGATGCCCTCGCTTGCGAGGACTTGGACGTGAAGTTCCACGTGGGTCAGGCTTCTATGCAGTTGGAAAACTTATTCGGAGGAAATAACGAACTTGGTAAATGGACTTTAGAGTAATTGATTATTTTACTTTGAAGTCAATGAATTTCGTAGACACGATTTGATACTAACCTCCAGAGTCAGAATTGTAGGTATACAGATTGAAAATACTAAAGACAAAATATCAACCAGAACGTCAATTCCTTTGAATTAAAACCACCAGTCGCAGACTTATTCGTCCCGCTACTTGGAATCATACCTAAAAAAGTCAGATCGAAGAAATGTTTGTTAGTGTTTGATCTTTTGTACAAATATTAAACTTAATTCATTTATTTTCAGGCAACGCAATGAATAGATTCCTAAACGAGAACTGGCAGAAGCTAGCGGAGGAACTTCAGACCCCAATGGAAGAAGCGCTGCGGGATTTCCTCAAACCATTAGGGGACCACGCATTCGCTACTTTGGACGCTGACGACATTTTGATATCTTAATCCCCAATTCAATTCAAATATTTGCAAATTCTATTGATCTTACATAGGTAACACACTTATAGGTGACACTTTACACTGCGTTACTCTCTATTTGGGCCCCACCAAAATTGGAAAAGGAAGAGGTTCGCAATTCTCCTGTATTTTTTTGCGTGTTACGCAATAACTCTGATTTCGGATTTGTGAACCGTTTTTGATGGTTCTTTTTTGGTTCGACAGAGGGTACCTCAGTATTGGTCCCATTTAAATTTGAACAAAATATTGCACCTCTGAGAGTGGCAAACTACTACATGAATCGGATGTCGTGCAGTTTCCGGTAACCGATTTCAATAAAACTTTGCAAATAGATGTAATTTACGATTTGAGGTCGGTTTTTCTAGTACTCTGTACTGAGATTATATTATGAAATCAGTTAACGGCAACTGTGTGAAATCTAAATAAATCGGATTCCTCCCTTAGTGGTGTAATCGCGTAACTCACAAAAAGTACAGTCGAATTGAAAACTTCCTCCCCTTTTTGAAGCCGGTTAAAAAACTGAAATGAACGAACGTGCAATAAAGTAAGAATGAACAGTGTTGCAATATAAATAACGTACGTGACATTTTCTAGACTGGGTTATCACTTTATCGCAAATTATCTAACATAGACGAGCAAGATTAACATTGTCATACTCGTGTGTTATGAATTTAATAATAAAGATCACAGTACATTTGCATGAATGTAAATGGTACACGTGTTATCACGAGATATTTCGCAAGACGGTGGCTTTTGCAATTGCGTACCTTATTACGTTAGTTTCAACTTTTTATATAGTCATAACTTAACGTAATTTTAAGGCCAAAATATGCAAAACCGTTATCTACAAATCGCAGCATAATAAAGTGAGGAATATGAAAAGTAACATTTTTAGATACTGTCAAAAAAGTTTAAAAAAACAATTAATGTGGCACTGGGGCGTTTGGTTAATGCCATAATATATGTCTAAATTGTATTTTATATAAAAAAGGTATATTAATTTTATTTCGTACGTTGTTTTTTTCACTTTTATTACTGTGGTTGCGAAATTTAACTTACACTTTTAACTTAGAACTTTAAAGAAATTTTAAATGACACCATTTCTTTTTGGAAGTAAAATCACGTATATTTGTTTATTTTTTAAATAAGTCTGTTAGCCGTTAACATGTGAAACAAGTTTGAGAAAACAATTAGTTTATTTTCAGTGTGAAGCAATCGAGAAAAACGAAGTAATGTATTTTTCTAAGACTTCCTTAATATTTCTATTTATTTGTCAATTTAATGTAAATAATTTAATTTATTAACTTTTAGTTTTCTTTTTAATATATAAAATGTTATATAATAATCACAATCTTTTATTTACCTTACTGTAAACCAACGGTGCATGGTCCACTTAACACGATTAACGTCGACTTACCTACGAATTTCATTCTCCAACGTAATGGTACCTTCTTTAAATGCACCCATCGCCAAAGTACTCGTAGGTAGCAATGGATAACATGAATTTCAAGGACTTGCCAAAGAAATTTCTTCTCCAACAAAATAGTATTGCAACCTTAATTGTGCCATTCAATTCCTTTTCCTTTAATTTAAGATACTATATTATTAAAACGAATTCATTCTTCGTATCGGCATCATAAAAATATACGATTTTTTTGTTCATATTTGGTACGGTTGGTTCCCGGATGATATGTAACTCAAAGGCTTTGAATTCAATATTACTCACTTTTCAAAATAAAATAATGTACTATCTACAATATTAAAAATACTTTCTGTCCGCGTGGGACATACTCTTTCGCCGCGGCTTGAGCCGATCAGAAACAGCTCTATATTATAAGAGCGAAAACGACATTGAGTGTTTTACGCTCGGACCGCTCCGATGCAAGCGCACAACGTCTTTTTTGCTTTATTACATGGACATGAAACTAAAAACTTCATGTCGATAAGTAAGGTGACTTCCTTGAGCAAGATGTTGAAAAAGCCTTTACCAAAGTTTGCTTGAAAAACATAACGAAACCTGGAATGAACACTGCACCAACTTTATTTTTTGGCCAATTTCTGTAATTTTAATATTGTGCTTCCCGAAATTATGTGAAAAATTTGAAAGAACTAAAAAACAAAATTCGATAACAAAACAAAAAACGAATTTGTGAAAAAAATAAAGAAACAAAAAAGAAAATAAAAACAGAACGGTTCAAAAAATTAAAATGGCGTAGTGTTCGTTGGAGGTATCGATAATAAGTTTTATTATGAGGCCTCTTAAACGCAGCTAGGAATTACAATACAGGGTTCTTTGTAAAATACTAACAACCTCGCAGGACTATATTACTGACATCACAAACAACAACTTTTGTTCCATGACTTTTAATAAAGCGTGAAAACACACAGAGCGAGTGCGGGTCGGACGCGTGTCGGGTCGGGAGCACAGCGGGTCTAATTCCGTGTATTTATACGTACGGGCGCACGCGACCGCACTCCCGACCCGACACGCGCACGACTCACACCCGCTCTATATGTGTTTCATACTTAATTCTTCGGAAAAAAAATTGTACAAAAATATCAATGTTTAAATATATCGCTCTAAACGATGATAGCTCTGTGCAAAACGCGGGAGTCGTCTGACGCTTGCATGTTTGAACTTACTACTTACCTACCAAGGTACAGATCTAAAAAGTGTCAGATTGTACAAAATGTACTTAAAAATTTACTTTTTGAAAAAATTTATAATGTTTTGTCAAAGTGACGCAACAAAGTTGTGACGTGTGATGTTAATAATCTAGTCATGCAAGTTTTTTATAAAAATAATCCTGTATGGAAAAATAATATTTACAAAAAAAAGTCTTCTGAAGGATATTGGTACCAGCTATATATTAAAAATACTACAAATACCTTCACAGATGTACTTACTCATACATTTTCCTTAAATAAATAACTTATCTTAAATAATGTACGATTAAAGTTTCAATTCAATTGTAGTCAGATATCACTGGTGGTCGCAATGATTTTGTACTTCGATTGATTGACAATTTAGACGCTTTACATGAGTTATTGTGAGTTGAAATTACTTCTTCTTCATAAATGCTGTTACAAATTAAAATATTTACTTATTTTAAATCTAAAACTAATGCGTTGGCCAAAATGTTCAGGCGGTTTTTACCATTAGCTAACTTCAAAGAAAAAAGAACTTTTTAGAATATTTTATTGTCTACGATCATTTAAAAATAATGTATGAAAGTACAAAGTACACATATCTTTACAAAGTTGTCAAATCTACTTATTGTAGTAAGGCTCGGATGTGTTACCTCATCCACGGTATTTTCCCGTTATAGACCATTCAGATTTTCACTTATTTCGGTCTATACAAAATTCATTGAATGGACACGATTTTGGCAACGACAATTTTTTATTTTTTTATTTATGCTTTGATACCGCACGTACATTTTGGCCAAGCCAATACTTGTCGTATTTTTAAACACACTAATCGTCCACTACATCGAAATTGTAAACAGAAAATTTACAAACAAAACTTTATTTCAGAACAATGATAAGGAAGACTTTAATTTCACACCTTATAACATATTGGCATATAACTCAAATTATAAAAATAATCAATTTTGTTTATAAATACTAACCACTTATTGGAGATTTGTCTCTACGTAGTGACAATGGAGTGTAATAAACAATCGTAACAACTGTTCTTTATTCAAATAAATACAATTTCAACCACAATGTAACTGAAACCAATTATTTTAATTGGTTGAAATATGATTGAAATTGGTTGAATATTTGGGACAGAACTGTAAAAATTGTGATTTTCAAGATTTACATTAAGTCACTGGAAAACAGAAAGGAACTGTTTTGGAACATATCCTGAATTATTATCTTAGGGCTATCATCACAGAAAACCTAAGCCGTGAGCCAGACATTGATGGGGATCTTGCTAAAGGCGGAATTAAGGAAGGTCTTGAAGAACTTGCTGATGGCGATGGAAGCCGCTGGTTTCATCTCTTCGATGATCTCAGCTGCGTTGTTGTTCAGGAACTGGTTCATTGCCTCTCCTAAAATGATACGCAAATTATTCTTTTGATATCAGTTATATGTATTGCGACGAAATAATCTGAAATAAGGTAATAAATAAATCACTTAATGAGTAAACTCCTACACCAGTAGGTACCGACATATTTTCGTAATAGACCGCAAAAAGTGAATGTAAAGTCGCATATAAGTTATTTAAAATGGTGTTGCATGATTATTTAGTTACTTTAGATGATGTATTAATTCTTATTTAAAAATAATTCTGATTCATGTCTTTGTAAAGGAAATGGAGTAGAAATTGCAATTAGGTGATAAGAAATACATTCATAAGAAATACGTGCTTGTATAACCTGTGTAATGGTATCGTAGGTTTGAACATATCTCTTTGTCAAGACGTATTTTTTTCATGGTGTGAAATGACGGGATGAACAAGTCGTACGCTTGGCGGCAAGCTGCATGCCTGTTCATAAAGTGCCAATCAAAGCCATCGCAAAGAATTGAGAGACACTGCCACTGCGACCGTCATCCTGAGATATAAGTTGACAGTCCCATATGCCAATAATTTCACAAGGAACTCTTCTGCTACGTAACATAACTTAAGTTGTAGTATGTCACTCGAACCTTTAAATTCCAAGATCTGATGAGCACTGATGCGCGACATCAGCACCCTTGCGGTTCAAAACCAGAACGGACCAATGTTCACATTACTGCTTGCTTACAGCCGCGGCTGAAATAAGCTTGGCGGCAGGAGTTCCCTTTGTCAGGGAGCCTCTCTTCTCCCAATGGATTTTATTAGTAAGCATTGAAACATAGATGCTATCTTCATAAAAGACACGCAGACTAAAGGGCTGGATTAGAAAACTAAAAACCAGTATCAAAGCGCAATATCGCCTGTGGTTTTAGCTGATTGGATCCTTTTGCATACTCCACAGCCGCACACATGACAATAATTCAAATTATGTTGACTATTTCAAATTTGATACTTGCGGTGTTGTTTTTCTTTTGTTTTTTATTTCACTTATTATTATTTCAATTGTTTCATTCAAAGAGCCTTATCATGTTGGTCAAACAAACGCATACGTAAGATTTAGATTAATGTTAGATATGTGTAACTCACCAATAACACTGCCGTGATTGACAGTATCCCGAACTTTGAACCTTGAGGTCTTGAGCTTAAAGTCGGCCAACAGCCTGTCCACAGACATGTACCTCACACCATCACGCTCGAACTCCTTTCCGTATATTTTCGCGATTGCCACCACATCCCCTGAAATTGGTTTTAGAACTATTTTAGAGAGTGTTGCGAAATGTTGTCCGTGCTACTTTGAAGGTCTGCTTTTCACTAATAGCATAAAATTCTTCTATTTAACGAACCAATAGCTATTCCATGTTATTCCATCATAATATTCATCTACTATTCTATCTAAACATTAGGGATTACGTAATTTTTTTAATTAGTCATGATTTTTTTCCAAAGAAGAAGTGAAACTACTTTTTAGGATCAAAATCACGTATATTTGTTTTTCAAACGTATCACCTTTTCGGGCTCTTCACATGTGCCCGGTTATTTTGGGAAAGATTTATATGAACTCGAAGATATATCCTATAAAAAAGTTTCTACTCATTTTCCTTTCGAGCAAAATGGGGTACACGAAAAGAGTCTCTTCGTAAGACGCTCTATTTATATTCTCTGTAAGTCTGGCGTATACTGGGCGACAATCAACGAGAACTTGGCTTATCCTTCCACCACATTGGCAAACATGTTCCATGGTTCTGTCCAGTCTATGCTACCGAAACGATAAGAACAAGTAGATTTAATATCAGATAAAATATTATTGAATAGAATGTACAACAAACTTCTTACCGAAAACGGCCCAGAAATCACCCCGTGAGCGTACAGGGAACAGCAGCACTTGTCCAGACACCTCATAGAGGCCACTTAATTCGATGCGCGGAAGCGAAAACGCAATGTCCATGCGCAGTTTTTGCAAGTCAGACCTGCAACCACATTAGAAGATCGTCAGTATCATTCATAAAATGCTTAGTGTGTACGACAAAATCTTATACATAATGAATGACATAAAATATTCTTATTTATTTTATTGAATACCATGATGTTTCACTACTATGATTATTTATGAAAATATTCCACTAGTTTGTTATTATTATTGTAGTTCAGTGCCTGTAATTTCACCAGCGCCCTTACCCTTCAAAACCGGAACACTGTAATGCTGACATTACTGCTTCTCCGCAGAAATAGGTAAGGTGGCCAGTACTTCCCTGGATGAACTCTTTTGTAAGGCGCTCGACTATACATCAAAAGATGTTTGTAACATTTACTGACTAGCATCGTAGCTTAGTTGGTTAAGAGGTTGGCCCCGGCATGGTAACAGACCTGACCTGCCCGATTCGAAACCAGACAGAACGAAGGAATTTTTCTCGGTGAGAAGGTCTCCTTCGAAATCTTTGTATCAATAAAAATAAAATTGATTTTTTTTCCGCATTTTTTTCATTTCTGACAGTTTTATTCTATATGTGCATTCTTTACTAGATAAATTATCTATCCTTCATCCATCTTTAGCTTCGAAATCGTAAAAACAACAAAATCCGCTTACATTTGGGAATTAAAACCAAATAAGTCAGTCATTGTCGTAAACCATTATTATTGTATTTTTGCATTTACCCCGAATTTGTGAAATTTCGTTAGTGTTTCATCAGATCAACATCATGCCACGAGTCTGTATTGCACATTTTTGAGATCATTACGTTACATAAAATCAGACGGGTGAATCACAGCTACGAAAAGAGATAGACTGTTCCGTATGTTTTAATTTACCGTGTTCTGAAAACTAGGCTTTAGTTACCATTTTTCACTGTCAAACAGATATATCTCGCTCATAACCGGCTAGTGTTTTCTGTCTAATTTTCTTTTCAATTTTTATTATTTTACTATTCGATCACATCGTGAAATATTGTATAATATTCAAATATAGTGTCTTGAAATATTATTTAATATCGAGTTCTTAAGTTTTCGCGATTGTTACAGATAGGAAATGAAACTATTTTGTCGGATTTAAATCGCGTATATTTATTTTTTCAAACAAACCAATGTTTCGGGCCCTTTACAGGTCATATTACCCGTGAACCGTGAAATCAACCGTGTCCAACGGACCTGTAAAGGTCCCGAAACCTTACGTTATTTCCTTAATTGATATCTTTTGTGCCAAAAACATAATCAAAGTTGATAGTAAGCTTAAAATTGTGACGATGCGACCTCTTTCCTCGGCCTTTTCATCACCCTTTTCTCTGGTTTCTAGCCACTTACTTTTGACATTTTGAATCGTTCTGCAATTCTTTTCTCCCATCTATCTTACTTTACTTCGTTACGTTGTCACTCCCATCAAAATTCTCCAACCGAGTGGACGTGCTTTTTTTAATATATAATAGACACACGCTTGACCACAATCTCACCTGATGTTAAGCGACGATGGGACGCGTTAAAAAATGCCTATTCACAGATTCAGAAATACAGTAGAGCATTCCATTCCTTTGCCGTACGCATTAGTTATCTCTCATCACGTATCACTCCATACTAAATTTTCAAATAGCGAATTCGTGCTTCCTCTAGTAAATTTATATTTTATTAACTGTCAAAATTTTCTTATGTGCGTTTTGTAAGGATGTAACGTCTTTGTGCACAGACATCACACACAATTTTGTGGAAAAGTTGAAAATGTCAAAGCTACCGTAAACAGTTCCTAATACGTCAAGAAATTTTATGATAAACCTTTACAAGGACATTATCAGGACTCTCAAGGCCACATTGGACCGAGAAAGAACCTACAGGACATGCTTCGGTTGTACCAGTAGGATAAACTAGCGCCCAACGTAAAGTCGTCTAGGAAACACTAGGTGTCATTTGACATCGTTTGCAATCAGTCATTTAGCGTGTAGCAATGCTCGTCAACTATAATTTTGAACGTCATTACGTAATTGACAAGCCACAGATTTATCATAAGCATCTGTGTCATAACCCTAAACAGTAATTATGAGAAAAAACTGCAATCTGTCTCAGAAATCATTAGAAAAACGCGGTAATCAATTATGGTTTGATCTTTATGGTCTCAATTAAATTCTGTGTAAATGATTATGCACTGTTTACATAACATTAGATAACGGAGTTATATTAGATAAAGAACCACTCCTAAGTCAACTCCTATAGTTCAGAAGATAGTTTCGTAAAGTTTCACTACTGCCCAGTGAGCGCTGAAAAGTCCGGGGGCAATTGGGGCGCGTTAGTGCTGTCCAAAAAGTGCTACAGCAGTGGTTTATTGTGTTAAGTTAATATAAAAAATACGTATTTTCAATAAATTTAATCTATGGTTTAGAGTCTTAAAAATGGTGTTCGACTTAGGAAAGATACCTTTAAGTAACAGTAGAGCTCCTTGTTAAAGAGTTCAATCAGGGAAGTACTACCTTACCTATGCTGCCAATGAGTAATGTCAACATCAGCAACAAGGGTGCTGGTAAAATGTCTCAGGGTGACGGGCGCAGTGGCAGTGGCCCTTAGATCTTTGCGATTCAAAGCTCTGAGTGGCACCGCAACTGCTATGGACAGGCGTGTCGCTTAACACCAGGCGCTCGATTTGTTCGTCCCGTCAGTAGGTATCATAAAAAGATAGATTTACGTACATTCTGCATAAATGACATGCAGGCTGATAGTAATGCCATCAGTCGCGAGAAAACACTTCACAGGTCATCTGATTACAGAGCAGCACGTACACCATTTTACATGTCATATCCGACAGATATGACCTGCCTATAAACATGTCTTTCATTCGGGTCCGCATCAAGTAGTCTCGTATTTTCCTGTATTGGATTGAAACCCATTTTATGTCACTATCATAATTATTATCACTAACCTTGACATTAAGTCATAGTATGTAAATGTACTTATTACCATGGTAAGTATGATGAACGACACGCCTGTCCATATTAGTTCCAGTGCCACTCAGAGCTTTAAATCACAATGATCTTAGGGGCATTTCCACTGCGCCCGACACCCTGAGACATAAGTTGACAAGTCTCATGTTTCTGTAATTTCATCAGCACCCTTACCCGTCGAAACCCGTTTATTGTTATAACCGAATGTATTAAGCGTTGGTGAAATTTAAATAAATAAATAATTGAAACCGAAACGCAGTAATGCTCAAAAAACTGCATGGCGAAAGAAATAAGGAAGTTGGCAGTACTTCTCTAGACGAACCCTTTCACAAGAAGATCATATGCTACTAAAACTGTTACTTGAATAAACGATTACATTATTATTGTTAAATGTAGATTACACAAATTATTCGCATAACTGCAGTTAATGTTTACTTAAGAAATGTTACGAAGCGTATCCTGCGGATGTCAATATTACTTAACAAAGAACATTTTCAAATAAAGCCTTTTCCATTGTCACTGTTGCTTATTTCTGTATACACGTTGAAGAAATTATAAATACAATTGACACCAAGTAAGATTTGAATATTTTTATAGCCATAAACGACAGATTCCCTTATTGGTAGTTCTAACTAACTTGGCCCTGTTTTTACATGCACATTTTTGGAGTTTCCGAAGATGACAAGAGATTTCGTATTAGCCTTTTGTTCGGTAGTCAAAATAAATGTCACAATCTATCCAGTGTTGTGCTTACCAAGTTTAGCAAGCTGCACTATCAAGTACTTGCGAAGTTGTGTAACTCTTATTACACCACAGCTGCCAATATTCGTCGCATTTCGGGCATCGCGTGACGAAGATGAACTTGACACCGTTTCCTATAACGTCCATCGTTACAGCTTTCTTTTGTCGTTTTGTCATGGCTTGTATGAAGCATTAATTATATAGATGGACAAGGGTACCTTCAAATGTATTTCCAAAGTGAACTCTTAGTGACGCACCGTGAGTTCCATTTGCCTTAAGGGAGTGTCTCAAGGTAAACCCTCAGGTCCATTTTCTCTTTCGTTATAATTTTAACGCGATTAACTTGTAACTAGCATGTTTATCTTAATATTACATGATAGCTAGTCCCGTCAAACCTATAATAGCACCAATAATATTCCTCGTGTTAAACCTGCGTTTTCAGTTTATGATAATAAACATCCTGCCCTTTTTTTTAGTAATATTTGTACAGTAACGTACAAATATTCTTTGTAAATCTGTCATTTTATTTGTATGTCTCTTCCTGTTAACCTTAAATATTGTATTACCACAGCATAAACTTATGCCTATTTAAATCAGTCTGGAAAAAACTGTCTAAAAGGGGGCATTCCTTATCCTGCATTGCAGTCCGCCTTGCCGTCCGCCGCGTAATGCAGGACTGAAAATGTAGTTGCAACGTGCATCCGGTAATCCTACAATGCGTCCTGCGAGATTCCAAACGTGGGCCATACGCAGGATAGTGTGTCAGCAGTCTCCTGCCTGCGCAGCGGACTGCCATGCAGGTAGTGAATGGGCCGTTTTAGGAAGTTCACCTTGAATCAAAATTCTATTCGTAGCTCCGGAAGTTTTACAGTTATATTCATTACTCTTAAAAAATTAACACATACCTTATTCATGACCTTTAGTTCTATATGTTAATATGTGAAAAATTAATATTGCAAATTATTGTTTATGCCGCAGGATTGCGTCTCGAGTAATATCTTTAAGTCCATTAAAATTTCCATTGCCATGTTTCAAATCGATATTGTCTTTATTTCTTTTTAAATGCATGTGACTTAATATATACTTAATATCTTCGTTGTAGTATGCCGAGTTAAGAAACTCATTGTCAACAAGTTGCTCGTCGAGGCAAACCTCGAACATTGTCGACTATTAGTTTGCCTTTCGGTATTTTAAATACATTTTTAATTACATACATTATTTAATCCTCTTCCTTTATTCCGTCACCCATCAATCAGACGTGGCAAAAGATTTCAACCTTATATTTGAATGGTTCATCACTACGCAAGGAGTCATTTGCCTATGGCTAGGGAGTAAAACGCTTTGCCGTGGTCTATATTTTCAGACCGATCCAAACTATAGATCAGTTATCTTCTATTTTCAAATATATTCAACATTAGCCTATTCACTAAAAAGAATCGATTTTAACGCACCGAACTTTATTAACAGTATAATTGCTGGGTCCAAGAACAGTGATGTTAGTGAAGGCAGCTGTAACCCTCACTGGTCCAGCATTATTCTCCATCAAAAGTTTGTCCACGTAAAGGGGCTCCACTGGAGGAATGTCAAGGTCGGGCAAACCTCTGGCTAGATAAGGTCGCAGGTGGTTGAAGGAACTCTTGATGCAGTTGTCCAGATCTGGATCGGAGCGGCTGCATGGTATGATGTACTCCGCTGGAATGGATAAATGTTTTGATTTAAATGGTGTTTACTCTTTAAAATTTTGGAAGAAATGAAAATAGAAAAGTGTCGTCCGAACTTTATTTCGTGCCTTTAACATTAAGAGTTAATTTGTACTATTTTTCTGTTACGTATTATTGCTGACTACTTGTTTTTTTTTTAATAATTATGTTTTGGTTGTAATTGAGTTCATTACAGTTTCTAACGAAGACGTGCATTAAAACCTAGGATGTCTTCTAGAACACAAGCAATTTATGTTCAACAGTTTTTCGATTTTTTTTCTGTGTTCCATACATATATATATATTGATGAACACCTGATACAATATTATGAAAACAAAAAAAAACAAGAAATTGTTTGAAAGTGATGAGTTTACGTGATTTTTTTATTACCGACGTTTCGTATTTCAGATATTTAGTATACATCTATACTAACAAATATGTTAGTAACAGTAATCTTGTCAGCTAAGTTAGTAAAAATGAACGTGACAATTACAATAAATTAATAAAATAAATCAAATTACGTTATATTAAACCAAATTAAATATTTACAAAACATTAATTTCAAATCAAAATTTAATTATATATTGTCAACGTGTATCACAGTGAACCAGCGGAGTAAATTTTTCATGCTATAATATCGTCCTCTGGATACCATAGGTGCAATCCAGCAGTCGCAACATCAGTGACGCACTTTTTTTGCGCATGATTTTGTAAAAATCATACACGCAAGCATCCTCAAATATGCCAGAGGCGCTGCAAAATCGAAGGTAGCCTCAACAGACTCTCAAAGTTGAATCGATAGTTTCTTACTAGCACAGTTGTCTAACATTGTCACTTGATGAATTGTCCAACCTAAAATTGTACAGAACAATGAACACTCAAAGATAACAAAGTTCAAGGATAATTTTGCACAACATGACATTCTGCATTTGCTTAACCCGACATCGGTAGCACAACTTATTAGTTACCACTTACACAACTTAAATATCGGCAAACAATACAAAGGCGAGGTGCGCCGGCGACGACACCTAGACTTATGTAACTTTGTACTCTCAAGTACTGGGCCACCGGTTGTGAGCACAATGTTCTCAAATAATGTTTGCAGGTGGACAAAGTCTGCGTAAGTTGGGATAAATTATATTGAACAAAAGATAAGGGTGAATATGCGAAGTCGTATAGAAAAATCAGATGAAACGTGTTTACGTGAAACGTTTACGTTGAACGATCTATTTCGTTACGGTTACGATTACGGTACGCAGTAGCATGCTGAGATATTGAGTAACATGTATTTCTATTTGATTTTAAAGATGGTTCACGGCAAAACACGCTGTTAACAATTGTTCAATCTGTATGATAGTAACTGCCTCCGTGGCCGAACGGTTACCATGCCGGACTGCCACGCAGAGGTCTCAGGTTCGATTCCTGGACCGGGAGAAATATTTGTATGGCCTACATTTATTTCTCTCGTGAGTTTGGATGTAACTTTGTGGTTGTCTATGTGTATGTCCATGGCAACTTATTCTTGACGTCCACATCTGCCAGATGCGTCTAGAAATGTGCTGGAGACCTAGCGATCGTACAAGAAATGAAGTCTATTATTGATAAAAGATGTTACTGCTTTTTTCTTAGATTTATGTTCAGTTTCTTTGATATATAGGCAGACATTTTAATATCCAGCTTTAAAATATTATACATTATTAAGTTTATTTTTTTGATTATATTAGAAAACATCACGTACGTTGCTGTGATCCCAAAGTAAGTAACTAAAGCACTTGTGTTGTGGAAATCGGAAACAGCGACGGTACCACAAACACTCACACCCGAGACAATATAGAAAATTCGTTTTCTACATTGACTCGGGCGGAGATCGAACCTGGAACCTCAGCGATGGCGACATCGTCAAAACCGGTGTGCAAGCCACTCGACTTCGGGGGTTGTCAAATAGCTGATAAATGCTCATGTAATGTAACGACAATATTGTTGACTGCACAATTGGTATTGTAAAAAAGTGGTCATATGAAACGTGGACAGTTAGTTGCAAGGAGACAATGTATTGCGAAGTTGATAACCGAATGACTCAGATGCGTTTGCGACAACATCAACGGTTTGTTTGAAGTCTTGTAAATGCTTTACTGTCCTTTACTTTGGAAAAAAAATCAGTAAAATCTTATTTATATTTCCTTACTCGTCACTCCACTAATTGAATTTGGTAACTACGTCTAAGTGTATTTGCATATGGACATTGCCAAGTTGTTTTACTACTATATTTTTGTACTCACAAATTTATTGATATAACAGCAAGTTGTTAAACATGGGCAGATAATTAATTATGTTCATATTCAGTGAAGGGTTCGGCTGGTGTTCCACAGGGTAAAGTATTAGGGCCCCTGCGTATTGCAATATTAAACTTAAGCTCTATATGCCTTGTGTGCCACAATCATTGACGATAAGTTGTTAAGACCTTTCATCTAGATCATTATGAACACTGGGCGTATAAATTAGCGCATCTACTTTGAAGACGTATTCGATCAGAGTTGTAAACATTAATATGAGCAGCTCCTATAAAGTTAGATTAGTTAGGAAAGTTAGGTCTTTATTGAAAGAGTTGGGCCGCCGACTCAGAAACAGGGGTTGCGATCACTGCTGTGGGTCATGGTTGGTTTAGCAAGTGTCCATTGTCGTTCAGCGAGGTAATCCTGCTAGTGTAATATGAACTTATGAGCCGAGTACGATATAGGGCGGGAAATTTTTTTTTAGGTTAGGAACTGTCGAAAACACCTCTTGAAAATCCCAGTTTTTCGTATTTTAGTACCTATAGCGAAGTCCAGTGTGATCTTTATTAACTTATGAAATGAATAAATGATTTTATCGATCATTATAGACTAACCACTGTACTGATTCAGAATTGGTGAAGGCGAAGCTGCAGAGCCTTGAACACCGCCGTAAAGTTCCTGCTTATCGGTATTTTACCGGATATATCACGGAGAGTGTGCGATGGAATTACACGACTTAATTCCGCCTTCTCCTTTCCATCATCAAGGGACCAGACGCAGGCTTGAGTACCACCCCTATGTTGTGGATATTCCAAATATTCGCACGAAGCGTTACGCTTTCACATTTATATGGCGAACGAACGTTCCCTAAAGGTTATAAATTGGACCTTTTCAAGGCGTAAGTCACTAGTGACTCGTAATGCCTAGGCATTATTTAGGTGTGCATGCTCGATCGTCGACCTCACCGTCACTTTCCATCAGGTGAGATGGAGGTCAAATGCGCACTTACATTTCATAAAAAAACTAACTTTCAATCATTTTAATAACTCCCATAATTAAATTTTTAACAAGAAGGCTAAGAAGATAATGATTTTTTTTCTTTGACAATTTTCACAAAAAATCAAAGAAAATGATCAAGCTTCAAGTTTCGAGACACATAGAAAATGAAACTAATTTTCCGGCTCTAATTCGTGTATATTTGTTTTTCAAACACATCAACGTTTCGGACCCTTTACCGGTGGCATACCATAACCTTTCAAAAAACAATCTTATTTCAATGTAAGCTCATAATAAGCTTATTATAATATTATTCGTATTCGTACCATGACAAACTTATCAACGAATAACGTATTATAGCTAAAGTGACTGAAAGAACGAACTATTTTCCAATATTGTCTATTCCTTACTAAAAATAGGAAAGAAATAACGCTATATGAACTGTATAATGCCATCTCTTTCTTTTTGATGTTCCGGATCGTCCAATTGTAGTATAATGTTAAAGTACTTAATATTATTTATATGCAGAGAATTTTAACTGCGAAGAAAAGAAAATTGTGCAATAATGAAATATATCAAAATTACATTGTTTTCAATTATTTTTCCGCATTTTCACGAAGAAAAATAATTAAAACAAGCCGAGTCTTGATTGTCACGTTGTGAATTCAGAATTGTAGTCTAGTGTCAACTGTTAGTGTCGCCAAGGAACACATAGATGGCACTGCCATAATTTTACGAAATAAACGCCGCGTATTTTTATTTAACGACAAATTATTTCCTATGTACTATTGAAGAAAAAAATAAACGAAATAATGAAGAGATATATGTAAATAAATATGTAAATAAATACTTAACTTTTAATCATTACAAATCAACATTTAGACAATAAATTCGAAAACAATGTTGTTTCCATTGCATCCGTGTAATTATTTTAAGATTGTTAAATTTTACATAAGAACAATATTACTTTAATATTAAAGTCGCGTCATAGTACGAACTGAGTGAATAAATAGTCCCAAAGCTGCCAATAAAACATCATAGTTCTAACATTATAATAAGCTTACTTTAAGCGTGTCATGGTACGTAAAGTCAACGTAAGGTTAAAGTAATATTGTTTTAAGAGGTTGTGGTAGGCCCCAGGTCCCATGATCACGGCTGAATGCCAGCTGAATCGTTTGGTCCTTTGAAAAACAAATATACTTCCGCGATTTATCTGAAAACACAGAATAATAAAAATACAGTAGAAGTGGTTAGTTAGCGTCAGCAATTGACCGCTAGATGGCAGCACATTGATTGAAATTTCACTATAATATCAAAACGTCGTAATTTGCAAATAGGTATTGATGATGCTCAACGATATGCTAACAGGGTAAAGTTTAAATTGTATTAACAATCCAGAATTTGTTGTTTCTTTTTAAATTTAAAACTATGACCAATGAATATCAACATTTTGTGTTGTTTCAAATTAAGAATGTTTTGGCGACATCGATTCTGATAGTAATCGAGGCCTAAGGCATTTCTATTGTTCTTTTTTCTTCCGTGTCTGAAAACAAGTCTAAAAATTATTTAAAAAAAACAAGAATCCGACTGCAAAAATATTTAACTGGAAAGATAAAAATAAATTAAACCCCTTCACTATTTTGATTATTTTTTATAGCCTATAACACTCCCACAATCAAGACGAATCTAACGACACCTCATATGTCAAAATCTATAAAGCCTT